CTCTCTCTCTCTCTCTCTCTCTCTCTCTCTCTCTCTCTCTCTCTCTCTCTCTCTCTCTCTCTCTCTTAGCCTCTTATCAAACTGATTACTGTGACACGCTTCATTGTTGCCTTGATACGCTTGCCAGCCCGGCCAAGCCACACTTGATGTGTGCGCACGATGTCTGTGATTTGTCTGTTGCAGGCCTGCAGCATCCATCACTCGGGGCCATAGGTAAGTGCGAACGTTGCGGAAATGGCGGACCTGTTCCTTGTATAAACAATTGGAAGAACCGAGTCGCTCAACACACGATCCACTACCACCCAATCCCGGTGTGCACATGCCATGACCCCTGAAAAAAAAAAGAAAAAGAAAAAGAGAGAAAACAACGCAGAAACAATTCAGAAACCTTTGCGACAAAAAGATCCAAGCTTCCAAACCAAAACCAAAACCAAACCAAACCAAACCAAACCAAACCAACGCTGGTCTTCCACACGACATGATGATGATGATTTTACAGAATGGCACGAGTTGTCCCGCACGATCGTCGATCACCCACCCAACCTTTGACGACATTAAAGCCATCCCACTGGCTAACCTCACCATGAAACTTGGCCAGCATTGGATTTTCTAGAAAATCCAAGGTGATTCCTGCAGCTCGAAAGTTGAAAAACTATATGCGCTCGTGTCCTCCTAATCTTTACTCAGCTCCATCCTCCACAGAACCAAGAAGAATGACACATATGACCCATCACATGATCAAACAGATAAGTAGATCACTACAAACTTGTCGTCATCATCATCACCATCGTAGTGCTGAGAATGCTATCATCAGAAATGTCAGAAATCCCTAAAATCATCATCATCATCATCATCATCATCATCATCAACATCATTCTTTTATGCTAATTTTCTCTCTATATATCGCTCCAATTTTCTAGCACAGGGGCCATGCTAATCTTCTCTCTCTATATCGCTCCGATTTTCACGGACGTCTCATTCTCATCTATAGCGACAAGGTGAACGGTTTTAGCGACAAGGCGAACGGTTTTACAGTAGCACAGGGGCCATGCTAATCTTCTCTCTCTATATCGCTCCAATTTTCACGGACGTCTCATTCTAATCTTCGTCAACCGTAATGCCAAATGTAACCAACACTTCCTATCATCATCCTCAATATCCTCTACCCATCCTCCCCGTCCTCCTTACCGTGGTATTGCAAGGCATACTGTAAAATCGTTCGCCTTGTCATTGTCATCCTCATCCTCATCGTGGTTATGCATATACCGTCTAAAAATGTTATCATCATCTGCAATCTCAGACCGGTACCTTCACCTGCAACAACATCTGCATCATCTTTCACATTCATCATCGCTATCTTCATCGTCGTTATCGTCATCTTCATCATCACCATCTTCCTCGCAGTTTATCCCCATCTTCGTGCCCAAGCGAGACCACAAATCTCATAATGAAGATCCCTCAGCCTCGTTACCACCACCTCAGGCAAGGCCAACAGGACCTAAAGGGCCTAAGCCGCCTAACCCCCATTTGCTGTAAGCGGCAGCAAGGACATTGTTGTTGCATGCAGTATGGACACCTGCAGACTCCATTTGTGACATCTCGGAGAGGAGAAAGGGGGTCGGTCGCCATCATGTCCATAACTCTCTGTTTTGCTGCCCCACTTGCCATATGCTGTTGAGAGGTCCCACAAGACCTACTCCTCCTCTCTCTCTCTCTCTCTCTCTCTCTCTCTCTCTCTCTCTCTCTCTCTCTCTCTCTCTCTCTCTCTCTCTGATGGAGTCGAACATGTTATGGATATATATAGAAAGAGCAAGAGGAACTTCAACAGCATATACTGCCTCGAGGTCCCACAAGACCTACTCCTCCTCTCTCTCTGTCTCTCTCTCTCTCTCTCTCTGGAGTCGAACATGTTATGGATATATATAGAAAGAGCAAGAGGAACTTCAACAGCATATACTGCCTCCAATCACCATAACAAGGAACAAAGAGCAACAAACAGAGCAAGGAACAATCGAGGGAGTAAAAAATGTTATGGATATATATCGTCAAACAGAGCTGCCCGGTAAACAGTAGGCAGAGAGTGAGAAGAGGACAACAAACGAGGCGCTGTGACATCATAAGTTCACATTACTTCAGAACATAAAATCATCGAATACGATGTTTAGTGTACTACACAAATTATATCACCACCACACACCACAAAGTCTACAGATACACGAAAACACGTGCACAATACACAAACATAAGTGCATAATCTTTGCAACAACAGTTACTTCGGGAATGTGCCGAATGAGGATATCACTCTCATATGCCAAGTCACGACAGAAGTCTGATGATGATCCACCACCATGTCAGTTCAGTTTAATTAGGGACTCGCACCAGCACTCGCCAAATGTGAGGAGAGAAAAAGCACGTCCATTTTTTTCACTTTCTCGCCAGAGATACACTCCCCATTCTCCACATGCGACTAGGAGTGCAGCGAAGTCCTTATTCGGCTTCTCCTTAAGTAGGCCCACTAATCCAAAGAGGAGCAATTAGGCTCTAGCACACTTTCATGATAGACCCTCCCATTCTGGACTCGATTTTTTTTTCACAGCAATGAAGTTCCTCTTGCTCACAAAGACGTACTCTCTCTCTCTCTCTCTCTCTCTCTCATGACTGCTCCCAGTCCATGGGCTGGAGATGGTAGCCAGCTGCGAGTTAGAGAGTTCTATATATGTACTGATCACATGACGCCAAGTGCGAAAAGGACTTGGGATGCACATTGCATGCTGCAACGACTGTCCGCTCTCCACCATGCTATCTACTTGGAGTGAAACGGAGGATTGTAACTGCCCTCACTATATTGCTTAACTTCCCAATAACTTGCTGATGGGTACACGTCAGCAAGTTCGCGATTTCTATATATGTAGTGAAGGGAAGTGAAACGGCGTTCGAGCACGACAAAAAATTGGGACTCCCATTGCCCGCTGCAACGACACGCTGCTCTCGACCATACTATCTTCTTGGAGTCGAGCTAAGGATCGGGACAATTACGTTCCCCCTAGCCATTGTGTGAAAACTTGTTTCCATGCGATCCTCGCATTTCCTCCCAGGCATGAAATCGGGTTCACAGACTCCGCACACACATGGTACCCATCCCAGACTCTGCCCCTTCAACAGCCCTTCCTCTCCCCCCCCCAAAACGAACACTTCCTGGACGAGTTGGGTTTGTCAGTTTCTTCGGACAAGTCAATCCTTTCTCTTGTGAACCCATCATCGTCAGATCATGTGAGAGGCCATAGCCCATCTACCTCTGCTCAGTATGAGGCTATGAGTCTGCACGAGGGGTAATCAACCCACACATACGGTCAGTATCCGCCGATTTGGACCTCACCACACAGTGTCACTTATTAGTGTCAATGGCAGGCAGGAAGTATAGCAAACAGCGTTGTTTTGTTTTTTTGTTTTTTTTTTTGTTTAAAGAAGTCACGGTGTAGTAGAGGGTGGAGGCCAGGCCTCACGCACACCACTCATCTGTAAGCTCATTGACAAAATGTCCATAGATGAACTTAGGGTTGAATCATGGATCAGTCCTTCGGGACATCCGTTAAAATTGGAACGAAAGTTACGAAACGAAGTAGATTAGCACGCCCCCTGCGCAAGGATGGCACACATAGATCAAAGGGAAAAAAACAAAAAACAAAAAAAAAAAAAAAACAAAAAAAAAAACAATCATGGATACGATTACGGACACAAGCTTATGGATAAATGTCAGCGAGGAGATAACTCAGATAAGGTCGTGCATACGCAGTATTTGATTCTGTAAGAAATCAGAAAAAAAAAAAGAAAAAAAGAATGCATCCTGAGAATAGGCATGATGTAATCGTTCCGAGGTTCCCGAGGCCGTGTATGTGAGAAGAGGAACAAAGAACAACTTGTACGCGCCATCCGACATTCACAGAACAGGAGGTTTCCTTGACTTTCTTCTGTAAATTACTCCACCCTCACACGCTGGCAAGACGATCTTACCAAGACATTGGAGAACAGCATGCCATCCTTTTCTCCACCGTCCCATTCAAATCAGTCCCATACGTCCATCATTCGTCACAAGGATCATAATTCACCAATCGGCTGTCTGTTCTCAGCACTGTCTGTATTTGGCTGTCTGTATTTCATATGTGTTGGCGGGGCGGCGGGGGGGGGGAAGACAGGAGGCGAAGGGGGGAGGATGAGAAAGGAGGGAGGGAGGGAGGGAGGGAGGGAGGGAGGGAGGGAAACTACCTTAGGCTGGAGAGAATTGTGAGTGTGAGTGGGATGGTCCACAGATGGCATGCATATGCATTTAACCCAAGAAGAACAGGGGCGAGGGGGGAGAGCGAGGCGGAAGAAGGAGAAGGAGAGAAGGTAGGAGAAGGAGAGAAGGTTGGAGAAGGAGAGAAGGTAGTTCCTAATTACCATTCACATTATTTGTTATACACCTTGGCATTCAAATGGATCAGTAAGATGAGGAGAGCAACTACATGGGGGATTAGATTCAATGGAGGCAAATTTCTCATAGCAATTGCAAGAAAACATAGGAAAAAGTTAAAAAAAAAACTAAGGGTCAGAACGAAGAGTGGAAACAAAAGAGCACAGGAACAAAAAAGTTGAAAAAACTGCTCGCAGCAGACGATAAAACTGGCCAAAAAAGGCCACAACCACAAAACGACAACACGCAATCCTTTCCCAACCCTCCCGATAAAATTTTCCCACAACTTTTTAACCACCAGATCGTACCGGCTCCATTAAGTTCTCTGCCAAGGCTGGCTTTAGCACTTCTGTCGAAGGGAGGACACCATGGCAGGCTTCGCTCCAACCAGTAGCTCCGACTTGACTCCCTGCCTGCTCCGCTGCTTCTCTTGGTTGTCCACAATCCTCCTCCTCCCTTCTTCTCCCTTCACTCCTTATACCCCCAGCAGCACCATTCACACCTGGGCCAGCCTCTGTCTCCCTCATGTCCATCACTGCGCCATTTTCCAAAACTCCTGCTGGATGATTTTCACGCCTAATGGGGCTGCAGTGACTCCACCACCTTGTGCCCCCTGCCTCCCCACTCTCCACTCCACTCCTAGATATTTTCAATTTGTACCCTCGTTGTTCGCATTCGTCCGTTTCCGATGCCCTTTTCAGGCTTTCCTCCGATCCTCTCTTTGTTACACCGCCACTAGAATTGCATCCACCTTCGTCACCGCCAGGTCCGCCCACTCTCGGACCTGCCATCTCCTTCCCTAACGCCTCGTAACTACCTACACCGTTCTCTTCAAGCCAACCCCCCATAGCGCCACTGCCTCGCCTCACCATATCCCCCTCTTCTGCAGAGCCAGCCACTCCTTTGCTTCCTCGGTCTCCTCCCCTCGCCCTCTTTTCGTCTCTTCCACCTCCCAGCTTCCTGCTCGAAAACAGAGGTAGCCCCCCTGCCAACCCTCTTTTCACTCCTCCAACTTTTTTCTGCACCTCTTTGAGCACTGTTTGCAACTTGAAAATCTCTGCCTTTCCTGCATCCCTTCCCCTTCTCACTGCTTCCAGCATCTCCTCACCGCCTTCGAACATCCTCCTCACTTTGTGAGAGGCCGCCTCTTTCTCCTTCTTGATTTTCTCCAGCAGCATTTCCGCATTCAGCCGCACTCGTTCCAGCTCCCTCATGACCATCTCGTTCTCCTTCCTGGCGGTTTCCAGCCACCCTCCCACTGTCACTTCCATCCTCCTTATGTCCCCCACAACAGCCTCCCTCTCTTTCCTCGCCATATCCATGTACGCTTCCGCCTTCTTCTCCATTTCTTCCATCGAACCCTCCTTTTCTCTTTTCGCCTTCTCCAGCAATTGTCTCAACTCTTTCTGAGACCTTGCCAGCTCCTCCAACCCCGCCTCTTTGGCTAACACACTCCGCGTCTCTTCGGCTTCCTTTTGCGTCCGTTCCACATCAGCCAGGACCAATTCCTTCTCTTTCTTCACTGCTTTCACCATAGTCTCCGCTGCCTCGTGCATCCTGTGGAGTTTGATCAACGTGGCCTCCTTCTCCTCTTTCACCCTCTCAACGAGGGTCTCACCCAAGCCAATCTTATCTTCGCCACCTTGCAGCTTGTCTTTCGCTGCGGCCAGCCGAGCTCGTGCCTGATCCCGCTCGTATTGCAGCCTCACGACCGCCGCCTCCCACTTCCTTCTCTCTATCTCCATCTCTACCTCTTTGGCTTGTACCTGAGACCGTAAGTCCTCATTCATTTTCTTAAGATTCAATACATCCACCGCAGGCTCCACAGACCGCGCAGTCTGCACCGCACAAAACACACACACAACCATGAATCATCCAATCAAACGTCAAGCATCTCTCCTGGCAATCACGGAAGCACAACTGCATCATCTCCTCCGGCATCTACCATATAGTCTTCTTACCCGAATGAACACACACTGAGAAATAGTATTCCCCTATGAGCTGATCGATCAGGCTTTCCAGACAGAGATGATAACGGGCATTAGATGGGGACCCTCAAGCCTTCAAAAGGAAGAGGGTATCCATCAATCAAACTGGCACACAAGATTGGAGAGCTTGACAGCATGCATCCCTCCCTCCCCACACAACACACCACTTTGTGAACGTCAATCGTGCTCATCGCATTGTTTTCATCTCGTCCTACGAGACTTCATAGAGAAGAGCTTTTCCAGCCATTGAACTCGGATACCAACTGCACATCAGAGACGTACGACATGGGCAGTACGAACTCCCTTCGACACAAACGTACTCTCCGAGCAGATCGATCCCCCCCCTGAGCGCCTTGGACAAACAACAATCTTATTCTTTAATTCTACACTCTACCAGGACAGCCAGACTCCGCCCTCGACCAATTCTCTTCATGCACACTTCAAGTGACGCAATGAATTCTCTTCGTGCACATTCCTGCTGGAGTAGAAGATTGTTCCCCCGAGGTTTCCCACGACAGTTTGGAGCAAGTTGAGACCTTGGACTTTGCAGGAGATCATTATATTTGTGTCAAAATAATATTCGATATTGATCCCCAAGAAGATTCAATCCCTGAGCAACTTGAGGGAACAATCTTCTTCTTCAAAGCTACTCCACCAGGACAGCACAGACACTACCTTCAGCTTTTCTCTTCAGGCATGCTATCAGTATGGGTGAAGCGTGCAGGTGCTTCACACGACAATTTCAGGACGATTTACAGCAATTCACAATTCAAACTTCGCACATTGCTGGGGATTTATTATTATTATTATTATTATTATTATTATTATTATTATTATTATTTATTAGACAGGTCCTTATGGCCCTGGCTCCATGTCCATTCTGGGGAGCGTCAGTCCGGTTCCTATTCCCCCGGCAAGTCAAAATTGTATACATCATGAGACACACTCAYGCTTCCTTCCGTCTGGCCGAAGGAACCCTGACCAGCATTGATTACTCCTTCTTGGGAGGATTGACTGTCAGCTTGCCYTAYCCTCGTTTTCCTCTCAGAAGCCCTGTTGCTTCTGTCGAATAGGCATTAAAGCACAAGAAACTGGGAGAGATGTCTGTCAGTCTGAGACTAAAGCCTCATTTTGTCCTTCTCTGGATTGCCTTCCTTGTCGTTGTTGGATTGGGCCCCTTCTTCCAAACTGACCCCTCGACTGTCTTGCTTGTTTGTCACCCTGCGTTTGTCCTGTTCATCCTTCGTGGACCAGTCGGAATTCCGTTTCTCTGCGGCTACGCCTGGTGCCACCTTTTCCATATCAGCCTGTTCTCCGCTATGGTGGCGATCTYGCCCTTTAACAGCCAGTTYCTCAGGAAWGTTCTTCTTCTGATMGTGTGCTTTTCCGGTCTGYGCGTCATGGATGAGGATATTTTCCGCCACCTGGCCCGAATCTCGGTCTCCACCATGCTTATCAGAAGAGTCCACATTTCCTCCCTTGACACCTCTGCTCCTTCAATTGTCCGTGTGCATCTGTGTTTCCAGATGACCCAGAGAGCCAGTTTTCTGAGTAGATTGAACCAGACTTCCTTGCTGCCACTGAGATTCCTGGGAGTGTTAGAGAGGAGTAGGATTGTTAGAGGGGAGGTGTTTGGCGGTGGAGATGAAAAGAGGGTGGACCAAAGGTACCGAACTTTGTTCCAGATCCAGTTTGCTTCAGGACAGTAGAGGAGGCAATGGGGGATGTCTTCTGTTGTGTTGTTGTTGCACAAGGCGCAGAGTTCTGAGCTTTCTGGGTCTGAGTGTCTCCTTCTTTTGTGGAGCCATTGATTGACTGGGAGGGCTGCGTGTGCTAGGAGCCACTACATGCTGCGGATTCTGGCTGGCCTAATAAGGAGGTATTTGGTCCAGGGAATGGTGCATGGGGTCGAGGGGTCTAGATTCAGTATGTTCTGCCACTTCTCTTTTAGCCTGGGGTTCGGGTCTGTAGTCTGCAACCCGAGGTCGTAGCCGAATTTCACGTCGTATTCGGAAATTGTTCTTGATTTCCTTCCGGAGCCTTGATTCCACCTCCACTCTTTAGGGTCGAATTCCAGGTCCTCGATACTGAGTTCTGGCTGGAATATGACCCATGGTCTGTTCTGGGTGACTCTGACCTTTCTGAGGAGGAAGGTTTCTAGTTGCTCTGCTTGAGGGGCCTCGTTCTGGATTTCCAGTTCCTGAAGACTGTGTTTGGAGATGGGGTAAGATAAGAATCTGGCTCGGTAGCTGGGGGAATCTGATCTAGAGATGAAGCAATAGGCTCTCTCGGGCGGAGTCTGGGAGACTAGTAGGCCCCAATCACCTGATTTCCACGTGAATCTTTCTCTTWGGAGAGTTATCCATTGAGTGGGGATGCTCTGATGTATCGCTGCTAGATTAGTTTCCAATGAGTGGCATCCCCTAAGGGGGGTTCGGAGCTCTTGGCTCGTCAGCCAGTCTTCTCGATCTGTAGACCATAAATGCTTGATCTGCCATACTCCTCTCTCCACCCATTGCTGGGGATAATTCATATACGTATCAACTATCTTTAGGGGTGAATGCATCACCATACTTGTCTACTGCTCTACAAATAAAAGAATGTTCCAAATGTCAGATCTTTCAAGACAAATGTCAGTGTTTATGAGATCTATGCATTTGAAAGTCATTCCACGATGCAGACCCATAATTCGAACATCAGCGTCAAGTTCCCACGCTAAAAGAGGCCGAGTCGGCCAGTTTCAGAAAGGTTAAGTCAGGTGCCCCAGAGGTCGAGTCCAACAGGCACCCGATCAACAGTCACACACGTCCCAAAGGCAAACGTCACACCCAATAGGCAAAAGTCACGTCTCACGGTGAAAGGTCGTGACGCACAGGCCCCAAGCAGCAGCACGCCAAGGGAAAATTCAGGGAGGTACAAGGCCTCGACATTCTAAAGCAAACAGGCCGTGGGCATGCGAGTCAAGGGAGGAGAGGCTGGGAAGAGTGGAAGCTGAGTCCAAGTCAATATAAGGACTGGCCAGCCACATGTGAGACAGATGGCTCATTCGTGAGAAGTGTGGAAGTGCTGCTGAAGCGCTTGTGCGCTATCTGCGAGTGGCATGCGCGAGAGCCCTGCTGGGCAGCGCTGTGCTGAGGAAGGGAAGTGGCCATAACCGCTTAGCTAGCAGTAGGAGATAGACCTGAGTAGTAGCAGATGTATTCAGAGTCAAGATCCTCGAGTAGAGAGAGAGACGGAGAGAGTAGAGGGAGAGAGAGAGCGCACGCATGAAGAAGAGAGAGAGAGAGAGAGAGAGAGAGAGAGAGAGAGAGAGAGAGAGAGAGAGAGAGAGAGAGAAGAGAGTCACCTACCTTGGATGAGAATGCTGGAATCGGGTTGGCTGAACTCTGCGCTGATGAGCGCTGGTGACTGCAACTCTGAAACTGCTTAGTATGATAATTTGTTGGAATTTCTAGGCTGCGCTTATCTGGACTTTGCATCTCTGGTCTCCAATGTGGACTTCGTGTGATCTCTGATTGTGTGTGTGTGCTCAACGTGACGAGAAGTGAGGCTCAATGCACATTCCTTTCTCAACCCTTTCACCAATCAGAAGTAAAAAAGCACGACAGAAAGTTGGTGGCTGAATTACTACAAACGAGTCCGTCAACCCCCCACAGGAGAAGTTTGACGAACTGGGGGCGTACAAGGCAGAGAGCAAGGAGGGATCGACAAGGACCACCAATGCAAATAGAGGAGCAAATAAGCAGGAGAAGTTTGACGAACTGGGGGCGTACAAGGCAGAGAGCAAGAAGGGATCAACAAGGACCGAGAAAAACGGACTTGACAAGCCGAAAAAGGAAGGAGGGATGAGGGAGGGGAAGGGAGGGAGTGGTACGAAAAAGGGAGGAGGAATGAGGGAGGGGAAGGGAGGGAGTTGTAAGTGACAAGGTAAGCAGAAGGCCGGCGGAAAGGGTCCAATTAAGGATGTAAAGGAGAGCCCAGAATGGATGGGGGGCAGCAGATGATGAAAAGCACACCTGCAACTCCATGAGCTCTGCATCACTGTTGCGCAATCCTTCCACACGTCCATTAACAGCTGGCTTTTCACTGCAGAACACAAATCCCCTCCCCCCACCACCGATCAACACCACCAACACCGAACAACACGATGCAATCACCCAGGCATTGTTAGAACTTCAGGAACACACACCACCTCCTCCCACTGTGATCTGTGTACAAACAAGGGTTGCATTCCCTGAACGTAATCGGCAATACACTTGAAACCCAATCTTTGGCACACTATCTCAGATGCAGTTGACATAGCGTTCACACAGCTTTACACAGCTACAAATGTATCTAAAGATGTGCGTATGGAGATGCTTGTCAAACACCAGCACTGCGATTTTTTCTGGCTTCTTCTGGCATGATTATCACAAAAGATACACAACTCTACCTGGGCAAAACCTATCTATCAGACATTGAGAAGGACTTGGTTATTCAGCAGGACGTCATCAGACTCGGACATTTGAGAAACACCTCGTCATTGGCAGAGAAAACCCTCCCACCATTTTATAACATTGCAGCAAGAGTGCAAGATAGAGCGGTTGGGGGTTAGAAGAGCGCAGTGAGGGTCCCAGCGTGAACAGAACAACCAGTGGCTTACTCTTCTTTCCAGCCCGCAAAGCAAGCATTGGCATTTGCTACGATGGCAGTGACCGTGTGGTTCGGTGGAATTTTCATCTGATAAGCGGACCTAACACACAGGGAAGAGAGGAGGAAGGGGAGGGACCACAAGAAGTCACTGCGCAAAATCCTTTACGCACATGTCCCTTGGCCCTAGCCTTGGACACCCACCAGCTTCACCATGGTTAATCAACCCATCAATCAGGTTAGGCTGTTCTGGGCACGGCGGCAAACTAATACCGAGTCGGAATTCTAATCTATCCAAAAATAGAAACCAAAAGAGATTTATCAATAATTCTATTTATGACATTTATGTTTAAAATCTAGTTATTTAACTTATTTTATTATTTATCATTTATGTATGATTTTGCTATGCTAATCTATTTGCATTATTTTTTGGATTTATAATTTTATAGATCAATATTGATTCATTACATGATTCTCTTTTTCACTCCCATTTTTTAATCTATGAATTCAAAAGAAATAAAATGCACTATAGAGGTCAGGCAATCTTTTTATACAGGTCCGACAGTGCACCGTAATTTTGGGAACTTTCCGAAGGTGGTGTTACACAGTTCACCACATCTTCAACACCACTCCATCCTCAGGGAGATCTGAAGGCACATACTTCATCTGGGCTCAACACCTTTTTTCAAACTCATACGCTGACCAACTACTTTTAAAATACTCGTACGCGCTTCCTACAAGTCGATCGTTGTTTCGATCGCCGTTTGATCGTCATCTACTGCAAGCAAATAGATAGCGCGTTATTAGTTGTCTGTACCACTTTGAAGCTGCCTTTGCTTGACTCGAAAAGACTTACAGCCAGCAGTTCAGTACCCTTTGATGTCCCTGGGATGTACACTCCACTTGATGTCACCTCACCTCGCCTCACCTCCGAAAGTTCTTGTCCCCGTGATGACCATCATGATTGTATCACTTTTGCATTTTGCTTCACGACACTTGCGGCCATCTTTCTAAGCTCCCCTACACATCCACAATGTCATCCCCCTGATGATCATCATGATTGCATGGCTTTTGCAGTGCTTCACGACACTCGATCGCATCTTTCTAACCTCCCCTACACGTCTGCAAAACCCGATTCACTCCTACAGCTTGCCTCACTCGCAGCAGAGGATTCCCTTACTTGCCAGCAGGTGCCTCATTGTCGTGATTTGATTCTTGTACGCCTTATGATGCTCAGCTCGTTCTACTCTACCACGGCGTGCAGGTGAATCTCTTGTCTGCAGATGCCACTGTCACACTTGTTTCGTTGCTGTGCTGCTCAATTGTCTTCCCCTTGCGCTTCTAGTTCCACTGGTGACAGTGGCCACTTCTGCTGATTCTCCCTTTTGTGTTTTCTGGCCCATGGTCTTGCCCTTCATGCCTTTCAGCACAATGAAGCTTTGATTAGCGACAAATAATGTAGGAACTCCTGTGGCGCATATATGTATGGCACCTTAAGACACTGTCACATATAACCAAGGAAAGCATCAGCAATACCCAGGATTGCCTCACAATGACACCAGTGGGAGTGGGGGGAAGACTGCACACACTTCTTCTACTTCTTCTTCTTCTTTTGAGAACCAAAAGGCCCCTGTATTTAACGTTTCACATGTTTCGCTTTGGACTTCAAGAAACACCAGGCGCATTTCACGGATCGCTTGAACCATATTTCATAGGAAGGGAAAGCCTGGTAAAGTTGGGGGGCCATAAATTAGATCAGAAGAGCATGAGGCATCTGTCCAAGAACCTGAAGGGCATTTGCCCGACGTGTCCTAGAAAAAAGAGGTGCTCTACTGAGACCTGTTTTCCTTTGAAGACTTTGTTGTTTAAATTTAAAGAAATATACCAATTCAGATCTGAAAGCAGATGTCACATCAGGAAGTGGTCACCCTTTTCCTTTGGACTTTTCCTTCGGACGACTTAGGATTCCAACGATTCATGACATGGCTGCTTAAAATTCCAACGATTCCGGACACGGCTGCACACCTGCCCCAGAGCCTGCTGTCACTGCTGTGCGAGTACGAACAGCGCTGTCCGCTCAGTAGTCACACATACTCAGCCACAATCCAATGAACAAAATTGGCTTGCCATCCACAGCTGTCTGTACCGTGCTAGACAAAGCGCCGTCATACTCTGCACTCACCACCTCAACACAAGGTTTACCAGCCCCCCAAGTGTGGCACTGCACTCCTAACTGCCTTGCTGCCTTCTGTCACCTATCCTAATGACACCTCAAAGAATACCCTTCCCACCCCTTCATGAAATAACACCCTACCCCGCCATTTCTCTCTCTTATTCTTCCCACTCCTTCATGAAATAACACCCTATCCCGCCATCTCTCTCTCTCTCTCTTGTGCACGTGCAAAGGACGCACAGGACACGACCGACATCACCTGACTTCTGAACAATAAAATGACAATGCAGCATGACCCGCTTGGTTGCAGATTACAAACAAAGATGGGTGTTTACAGTGTCCTTCTCACTCCTTCGACAGGAGAAACAACTCTCCAGACAAGTACAGACCATCCACACTAGCGCATTCGAAAGGTACAACACACAAACCTCAATGACTCTGAGCATTGAACATCCCACATCCAAAATTAGGTGGCCACAATGTGCGCAGATGCCCGAGTCCAAGCTCTGCACCTGCACATGAAGATGGTGAGGTGCTTTTTTTTTTGCGACCATTTTGTTGATTTCTGTGCGGCATTCTTCTGCAGGGGCCATGCTAATCTTCCCTGTAGCATTCCTATTGTAACGGATGTCCCGAAGGACTCGACTCGACGAGGTGCATTCTGAACGTGCTAGTTTTGATACTTTAAAAAGCCTGAGCAAGCTGTTTCTAGGAAGCACCCCAACAAAGAGAAGAGCAAACATCGTCGTCAGGCACGCTTCTTACATCTTCTCACACAAACTTCTCATTCCAATCATCCAACCTTGACCAACCATAAAGCATTCCATCCGCTTTTAATGATAATATATTTATGAATTGGTATGAGGTGTTTTCCCAAAGTGGGTCTGATCACGACTCTGATGGCAGCAGAGGGCACTGCGCCTCAAGGACGGACGACGACTTGACATCCACACACTTCAAGGATGTGACTATGATCTGCACTTGCCTGGATGGGGGGCTTGGACTCGCTGTCTGAACTCGCTTGTTTCCAGATTTCGTCTTTGCGCTATCACTTGTCAACTCAGTTGCAGACGAGGCTGGAAATAGCTTGGCACAAAGGACTGATAGCTGTCGATCGAACCTAAAACAGACAACAAGTTGCGCATGGATCACCGGCCAAACTGAGTCTCGTGTTGTGCAAAATATATCACCTCAATGTTCCTCAAAATCTTTTCATGCAATCCCAAGCTGCCTCCAACAATTACTCCCCGTTCTTTCAGAAACCTGCAAAAAACTGCCTTGCAGCGGCGTGTAGAAATTTGACTATCAATCCCAGGAGACGAGACAGCACAGCATGCAAATTGTGTAAAAAAAACAGTAAAATGATATTAAAAATTAAAATACTTCAATTGAAAGGACGTCAAGAATACCAGCATTCTGTCCAAAACCCAGTCCCAAGGTTCCAAGTCCCATGTACCATATGCTCCCAGAGCGGTAGGTAGGCGCATAGGTTCGGTAGGCCCAGAGCGGTAGGTAGGCGCATAGGTTCGGTAGGCCGTAGGGTTATGGCATTCTGTCCCAGTCCCAGTCCCAAGGTCCCAAGTCCCATGTACCATATGCTCCCAGAGCGGTAGGTAGGGGCGTAGGACCGGTAGGCCGTAGGGTTAGTCGGTACAGTCCAGTCCAGTCCAGTCAGCAGGACAAGTCCCAAGAAAGTGAACATTCCAGATGCATCAAAGATTGACCACAGCCAGCCAAGTGGACTGGTAGGTATCGGGCCAGACCGGTAGGTATCGGCGCATAGGACCGGTAGGTATCGGGCCAGAAAGTCTGAGGTTTGAGGCCGAGCATCACACCGAAAAGTCCAATTATAGGCAGTGTGAACAGCTTTCAACTTATGTGTGCTGCAGAAGCGCTGCTGTGGTCCTGTGTGGCCAGACTTTGAGTGAGGCGGGAAGTGTGCAGCAAAGTAGGTAGAGTTTTACGGCGCTGGGTGCCATAGCTGTGGGAAAAGAAGCGGAGCGGCCATAGTCTCCAGGCCTGTATAAGCACACTTGTTGTGTAAGACTTCAAGTTTCGAAGGACTTCCGGAGCATTGATGGTTAACGGGGACCCCCAATTTTCAGGTCCTGGCCAACAGGCCCAAAACTGGAATTAGGGTTTGGGGCCCTTGGGGGTCAATTTTTTTGTGTTTTTTTATTTCTTCTTTTGCCTGTTTTTGTTTTTGGTCAAGGTTGTTTGAACTTGTTTCATTAAAAAAACCTTTTTTCTTATAAATGGCATGCGAAATTTCTGAAAATTCAGGCCTCCGTTAACCTTCTCTTGCCAGCAGGCTGTGTGGATTGCAGATGCGTGGTTTCAGCTGTCATAGGCCATGGCTACACATAAAGCCATGGCTACTACCTCACCATGGCTACACATAAACCCATGGCTACTACCTTGCCATGACTACACATAAAGCCGTGGCTACTACCTCGCGACATCTCTACGCATAACGCCATGGCCGAGGAAGACTTTGCAAGGCCCCCCCGAGAAACAGGTAAAGGAGCCAAGACTCGGGGGTACTAGTGCTACAAACAACCACTACCCCACCCAGCTACACTGTGCTCAGGCACCAGTTGGCACCAATTTTGAGGCACAGCCTACATGACCAAAATGATCGGTGGAGCGTGGTCGGCCCTTGTGCTCGAGGGTCCGGAAGTTTTGGCAGGGCAAAATCAAGCACCGGGGAAAGAGTCTCGAAGATGCTGGTGGTTTAAACCACACACACCTCCCAGCCTCCTTCGAACCTCTTCGATGCTATTAGCATGGGCGACGAAGACAAAGAGCCAGGCCCGGACCCCCGCATTACCAAGCCTCCTTCAAACTTGTCCCAAGCCTGTGCGAAGCATGGGCAGCCTGATGCAATCTAGTCTTTCTCTAGAGTCTTTGTTTGCAAGTGCAGGTGGTGTAAAATTCACCATCAGTGCCCAAGCAGGACCCACTGATATAGACAGGGGCTGCAGTTACCGTCCGTAACTAATGGCCTTGCATCCAAAAACAGTCAGCAGGACAATGACACCGCTCCGGAGGCAGTGGGACTTCGGAACACCAGTAATCTGATGGACCCAACACTTGAAGCTCCAGATCTTGAGGGACTTTTTTCTTTTTTTTTCCTTAAGGCCAGTGTTTGATGTTTCACCCTCAGCCAAAAGACGTTCATATCCAGCGGCCTAGCTCAGTTGGTAAGGCACGCAAGTGGCATTCAGGAGGTCTTGGGTTCAATCCCCATTGGCCTCATGTACCTTCCTGGGCATGCTTGGCGACCGCCACCTAGAGATAGCCCGTTGGTCCCCCGGATTGGCATTAAAAAGCAGTCTCTGCTGATGTTCATAGGGGGAGGGGTATTCAGGGAGGCACAGCGACTGGCCACTCAGATGATGCTGGGTCCCTCTGCTACCGGCTGTCCCCTGGCCGGTGCCCCCCAGTGGGGGATCCCTGAAGGCTATCAGGCCACCCTAAGGCTATCAGGCCACCCTGGGCTGAAAAGGCCACCGTCGTCAGATTAGACACAAGATTGAATTTACCTGGGCTGGTTTAGTCCGATGATAATACCTCAAGGCCATTGCCCTTTTTTTTTTTTTTTTATTAAAAAAAAGACGTTTACTGTTAACATCCTTGTCCAAGTTTTCTTAAATCTTGAACTAACACTCTTAATTTGTGCAGCGGGTCCTGAAAGATGCTCCCTGCTGGGCCCAGGGTATCCCAAGGCTGTCCTGTTCCCAGGCTGGTGGCATCCGTTCTCTAAAATACAAGTACATAGTAGCACGCCGCGAGCCCAGATCTTGGTGGAGCAAGCATCCGTAAAGGCCAGGGCACACTCACACTGGCACTTTTCAAAACACATGCATCTGACCGCAATCACGGGCAGTGTAGATCCCTTTGCCTCCTCTATTTGGCCGTTGCATGGGCATTTTTATTTTCTCAGTTCGTTGGGCCCCATTCTTCCTTTTGTTTTTTTGTCATTTTTCGTTTCCTTGCCTCTCCTTTCCTTTGTTTTTCTTTTCGTCCTCCGTTTTTGTTTTTGTTGCGGCGGTTTTGCGATGGAAAGGTAACCGGCTCAGATGCTGGCGGCCACTTGGGATCTACGCAAGCTGCAGACATGGGACTTCTTTTTACTCCTCCGTTGGAATCCGGAATCAGAGGCAGGGTACGTTGGTACACCCATGACCTGTTGAAATACGGACCCAAGTTTGAATCCTGATGGTCCTGGATGAATGGAATGAACAATTCTGAATTGCCTGGGGGCGGTCACTTCCATGATATCTCAAGGCCGTTCTTCGTTTTGTTTTTAATCGTTTTGTGTCACGATCTCTGATCATCGTGGATTTTGGAAGGAAAAAAAAAGGGAAAAAGAATTAAAAAAAGAAAAAGAAAAAGAGAGGGCACAAGCGATTACTCTTAGATGATGCGGCAAGGACTGGGCGTAAATTCCAGTCAGAAACATTTAGGAGCACTGGCTTAGCTCGTGGGGGCCAAGATGAACCCCTCCAAGTTAGTGAGGCTTGGCTTTTTTTGGGTTTTGTGCTTCCTTTTCCTTTTTTGGCCTTTTGGTGCTTTCTACCACCCAGCCCGCGTATAACCCACCTTACATCCAGTGCCGTCCGCTCGATACTATGAGCCACTTCACGTGATGCCAACCAACCCCAATAATATTGCCTGAGCCACACAGTACCCCCAAGTCCACATAGTATGTCCCGCCCCACATATTGCCACCCAACCCATTTGTTGCGTATCCCCCATGACGTATATTCCCCACCCATATATCACCGCCCTGCCCACAAAGAACCATCCGGTCCACATAGTGTGACCTGTCGTGCATGGCACTGCTCGGCGGACATTCCGCATACCACTGCCCTGTCCAAATGCCGAGAAGGTCGTCGCAGAAAAGGCGGACCTGGGCTGCTGATAATCGGTGCAGGGCAATACTAATCCCGTTGGGATATCTGCCCACGAGAAATCGGTGCCCGCTTCCCGCACCGAGACGACAGAGAACTTTTGCCTGCAGCTGTTGGCTGAGGCAACAGGCTGCAGAGCGCCAAATAACTTGTTTCTTTTAAAAAATGTTTCACCCTGTGAAACCACCAGTACTGGGCCCAGCTATCCGCTGCGGAAAAAAATAGAGTAGTCTGATGAATTTTGGCGCTCCTGTAGTGGCCCGCACGTTTCCTACAATCATGGCTTGTATACGGCCACAACTTTAGGAAGTACTGGTGCTTGAATAATTCTTTCTAAATAATCCAAACAGACGCATCCAGCATGCAGACACGTACACCAGAACCCGCGATATGGTTCAGCGAGTCAACTTCCGCAAGGCCTCTATTTGTGGCATTGAGTTCACAGGTCTCCTAAGCCAAGCCCACACAAGACTGTCCTCAAAGCACTAAGAATAACCAGGAAGGGAGGTGTTTGAGTCTAACCACTAGG